CTTGGAGACTAGTTTGTTGAGTTGACTTAGACTGGCATGTCCAAGTGACCTGTGCCAGAGAAGGGGATCATTATCCAATACACTTAAATGAGTGAGTTCATTATCTGACAGTGTGAACAAATCTACAACATATATATTGTTCACTTTTTTTCCCTGCAAAACTATCTTGTTAGTGATAAGATTAATCACAAAGCATTTTGTAGAGGTGAATGCAACCATGTTACCGCTATCACACAATTGTGATACACTTATTAGACTGTACTTCAGTCCATCTATCAAGTAGACATTCTCAATAGAGTGAGAGTCAGTCTTACCTACTTTGCCAACCCCAATGATCTCACCATTCTTCCCATTTCCGAAGGAGACATCACCTCTTTTAAGGTCCTCAAGTGAAAGGAACTGGTTCTTGCTTCCTGTCATATACTTTGAACAACCACTATCCATGTACCATATTTTGTTGCTCCCCTTCACTTGGACCTCAGCTTCTTCATCAGATTTTCCAACAGCCATAAGTTCTCATTCATCATCATCATCATCATCATTAGAGCTATCTCCCCAAGCAGCAACCATAGCCTTTGTTGATCCTTTATTGTTGCTTTTCTTGGGTTGAACTTGTTCCTTCTTCCTGTTCCTTCGTTCAGCTCTTTCCTTTTTCCATTCATTCCCATAAGGGACAATTCGTGATGTGGTGATCAGTCTTTCCACACTTGTAGCAACCATCATTGGTTTGATTCTCAGGAACTTTTGATTTGCTGTAGTTTCCACTTCTTGAAGAACCCTTTCCTCTCCTTAGGTACTTCTTGAAGTCTTTGGTGATCATAGCCATTTCATCATCTTCCAGATCAGAACCTTTAGTGATTCTGAGAGCCAAAACTCCTTTTCTTCTTAGGTACATCCATCTTCATGGTCTGTCTCCTAAGTTCATAGGCAGTAAGATTTCCAATTAATTCATCCGGTGGGAGAGTGACAATATTCTTTGATTCCTGGATGGCAGTGGTTTTACTTTCCCAAAGATTAGCAAAACTCTTAGTCAATATCTTTTCAACCCTTTCTTCTTCAGGAATAATCCTTCCAAGAGATTTTAGCTCATTTGTTAGTGTAGTGAACCTTGTATATATTTCTTGAATGGTTTCTCCTTCTTTCATAGCAAAACTCCCATATTGAGAGTACATTAGAGTTCCTCTAGATCTCTTCATCTGAGATGTTCCTTCAAGAGCCACTTGCAGTGTGTCTCAAATTTTCTTAGCAGTGGTACAACCTTGGATTCTGCTGTACTTATCTGGACAAATCGACAAACAAGCCATTTCTTGGCTTTGGCATTCTTCTCCCACTTCCTCAAGTCCTCAGCAGTTCAATCAGCTTTTGTCTTTGCCACATCTATTCCTTCAGCATTTTTCTTCAAGGTAGCCAGTGGACCATCGATGATAATGTCCCATAAATCATAGTCCTCTCCTATAATATGATCTCTTATCCTGTTTTTCCACCAAGAGTAGTACTGGCCATTAAAGAGTGGTGCCCTAGCAGTGTATTGCCCTTTTCAGTTTTCAGGTGGTGCACTCATGTTGATCTTCTCCAAAGGTGTAAGCCTCTTCATGGATAACCCGCTGTGATACTAATTGATGTTTTATACTTCAATGCCACACAAGAGGGGGGGGGGGGAGGTGATTTGTATGGTGTCCAATTTTTGCGTTCACAGATTATAGAAGGACCTAGTTCTTCTATGTATTCGAACTCTGTTTATGATCGGCCCTTGATCCTGTTTACATAATAGATCAAGAGTATGAAATCGTAAAGTAGAAAAACTTTTTCTAAGACATGGGATAATCGCAAGGAAAAATACTTCTATTTATTCTTGAGAAAAATGATTATACATGCGTAAATATTTTGAGCTAGGGCTCGAACACCCTATGTGGGTACGGTTCATTCGACTGTTTGGCCCTATCGAGATCCACTCATTATGGAGTAATTTCCTCTCAACAAAGTTGAATCCACAGGCAATGCCTTCCAGAATTCAGGGTTTACTGTAGGGAACCTCGGATACTATCTTTGACACCGATTTGTAGTCGGCCTTCGATTCTAAGTTAGCACGATCAGCTGTAAACCTTGCCAAAAAACTCAATCGGGTCAAACACGGTTCAAGGGAAAAAGAGTGCAACGCGTGCTTTAAGATCCAAAGCTTCATGCCGCTCTTTGTCGATAACCTGCAAGTGTTAGTCGAAAAATAGATAGAATTAAAATGAGGTCGTACCTTCATTTGGATTTTGGATGTTTAATGTGACCTTCCTCAGAACCAAGTCCCCGTGAACTTTGACCTCGATCATTTATCCTCTTATTCCATGCGGAATTTTGCCCAGATCCACTGTCTCTACAGTATCCATTATACGGTTGATATCGATATCTATTTAACCTTGATTCTCGGTCGATATCTCTCTTGATTCTATCTATGGGCTTGATAGATAAATTGATCATCCTCGATCCTGTTCTTTGACTGATACTGATTATGTACATCGGCCCAAGTGACACCTGAATACTCGATCAAATTTTTCTTCAATTGTTGTAAAGCTATGGAACTCCGTTCGTTGAGACCTTGAATGAAGGCTTGAACAGCCCAACGTCGGTGACCGGTGGCAAATCTATTCGTTCCATTTGAAATCGAGATACGAATTCCCTGAACATCTCGTTGTCTTTTTGCCTTACCTTGAATAGGTCCGACTTTCTAGTTGCAACCTTAATGGCTCCAGCGTGCACCTTCGTAAAAGAATCTGCAAGCATACCAAATGACTCAATAGAATTAGGTGGTAAATTATGGTACCATATCATGGCACACTTTGATAGAATTTCTCTAAATTTTTTCAGCAACGCGGATTCAATCTCGTCATCTTCCAAGTTATTTCTTTTAATGGCGCACGTAGATGAGGTGACGTGTTCGTTTGAATCTGTAGTCCCGTTATACTTCGGAATCTCGGGCATACAGAACTTATTTGGGATTGGCTTCGGAGCCGCACTTGGGAGAAAAGGTTTTTGGACAAACTTTTTTGAATCAAGTCCTTTCAATATTGGCCCTAAAGCTATAAGTTTCCACCTTCTTATCATTTCACTCGATCTTCTTTTCTCCTGACTCGATTCTCTTCTTCAGTTCCTCGAGAATTTTTACAATAACATGATTAGTCTCTGATTCTCCTTCATTTGATCTCTTTGGCACCGATTCGGCTCTATGAACAACTTCTTGTGATGGCTCGAGCTCGATCCTGCTCGGTGCACGATTCTGATTTTGGAGTTGTACTATTGCAGCTTTCTGAGTCTGCAACATCACGAATATCATTCGAAGGCTAATTCCGCCTTTTTCACCGCTCTGTGCGCTCTGATTAGTTGTTCGAGCATCTCTGCAGATGCTATTCTCAGGGTCGACGCCCAAATTCCCATTAAAGGCAATATGGCAGCTGACGTCGATTGGATCCAAGGACGGAGCTCCATCAGGATTTACTGGAGGTACTCTATTTCCTGGGGCGGCTATGTTTTCGTTCTCGCCATGAAGACCAAGGCCGTTGTCTGTGTGTGTGGGTGCAACTTGGGAGTTTGACATGTTGAACCTTAAATCAAAGACACTTCAAAGAACAAGCGTAAAATAATGTGTGTTACGGAAATTGTACCAGGCAATCACTATTATCCTTAGCCCCATGGTGGGTGCCAAACTGTTTACCCTTAAAATCACATAACAATTAGACTTATAAGTGGTTTTAAGGATACGTAATTTCACCTAGCACTAGTTGATAAATATGATGATTAATAGTAGAAATGAACAACAAAGTAAAGCAAACCAATATTGAAATGTAATTCAGCCCCCGAGCTAGGTCGCCTTCGAACTGAGTGAGTGAGAGTATAGTTATGAAATAAACTGATGAACAAGAGAGTATCAGAGAAAAAGAGTAATGTATTGCTTTGATATGCATGAATGTGAGATGATTACAAAATGATTAGGACCCTCTTTATATAGTAGATGAATCCTATTTATGGTATAATTCTAATTATATAAGCAAATCCCATGATAGGCTAAATAACCGGTCTTGACTCGATACGTGCCGAGATTTCCGCCATGATCCTTGCCTAATCACGGATATCTCGATCTTCTGTTATTCGACCTAGCTGGCCCCCCTCGATCTCTGTCTTATTTGGTCTCAATCTTGGTCGACTTGGAGCTTAATCAGTCTCAGGGTCTCGATAACTTAACCCCGCGCCATATTTGATATAAATCGGAGCCAAACCTTGACCTATCATGCTTCAGCCTTGGCTAGTCGAGCAAAAAGCGCAAACCCAATTGGAACCGTATATAATAAGAAAATCAAATTTCATCCTAGCAGTCTACTTCCAAAGACAAGGAAGAAAAAGGTTTAGGATGAAAAGGCGCATAGACAAGAAAGTGGTACAGTACAAGCATTGGTCTACAAGCTAAGTGCACATGATTCACGGTGACAAAATGTAATTGGGAGTTCATATCCAATACGTGGACTTCAATTAATTTATCACTTGTTCCACGATTATTATCTACTCCCTTCATTCCAATTATATGGTAATATTTCTTTTTTTAATGTGTTCAAAATTTTGTTAAATTCAAACCATTTATTTTAACCTTAGTTTTAAGTATTTATAGTCAGACAAAGAATATGAATTATTTAAGATCATAAATTTCGAATGTCTTATGACCACACAAATATTATAAAATATTAGTTTCAAATATTTTTATTTCTTTTTTAAACTCAATGCAACTGAAACTTTGCCTAAATAAATTGAAATGAAGGAGTAATAAAGAATTTTACATGCCTCACACACCTGATAAGTGGCAAGTTGAATTGTAACGTGAAAATGACTTTTCAATCTTTCAATCTCGGAAATGAACAAAAAATTCCTCTCTACTTTGTCATAAATATAACATATTTTATTTTTAAATTCATAGTATTTCCCGTATTTAATTAATTATATTGTCAAATGGTGCTTCCGAAAAATGTCATTTCATATTCCCAAGCTACTTAACTCTCGATAAAGGCAGAAAGGTACTTTTAGCTACAAGTTTCTCTTTCTCTTCCCTTCAAGTCATTCTTCTTCATTCTCCTTCGGCTGTCAACATGGAAATCGTAGCGTTTGTCATCGGAGTGATAGGTAATATCACTTCCTCCTCCTTTACGATATTTGGATATCAATAGTTTTTTAGTGTTGAAATATGTATATGTTCTTGGTCTTTTCAGGCAACATCATCTCAGTTCTCATGTTTCTTTCACCAGTGTAAGTAACCAATCCAACAAGAAAGAAAATATTAATTGCAACCAATATATAGTGGCTAGATCTTTTGCATGGATTGAGGATCCTTATTTTAATTTGAAATGATACATAAATAATGCAGAGGGACATTCATTAGGATAGTGAAGAATAAATCGACTGAGGAATTTGATAGCCTTCCATACATTTGTACACTGCTAAGTTCATCGTTGTGGACTTACTATGGAATTATAAAGCCAGGGAGTTTTCTTGTATCCACTACTAATGGTTTTGGAGTCGCCGTTGAGATTATATACCTGTCCTTGTTCCTTCTCTTTGCTCCTCCAAACATGAGAGTAAGTCCTAAACTATTTTATTGTTTTTTTCGTACCCGGTATCCGGTACCCACATTGGGGCCCGACTAATCCGGATTCGCGCCGGGAAGTCCCACACTGGGGGTAAACCGCTCCCTAACAAAGGCGACTCCATACCTAGGGGCTCGAACTCGAGACCTCTGGTTAAGGATGAAGAAGTGCTTACCACTCCACCACAACCACAACCCTTGTTGGTTATTTTATTGTTAATCTTCTTAGTAAATGAATTCATTATTTTTGCACCATTCATTCAAAAACATAAGCGAAATGTAGATAACTTTTGCAATTAATTATTTAAAAGAATGCCTCTGTTTTTGTAACTACCTACTCTTTTTAATAAGTGTGGAAGTAGAATTACAAAACCAAGATGCAGCAATTTATCGAATATAGTGGTGTTACGTTTAGGAGAGCAGAAAAATGGGTCCAGAAACTATTTCCCCTCTGTCTTTTTCTTTGAAATATTCACTAAAGCTCACAATTATAAATTAGACAGCGTCATAACTTGCTAGACTTAACTAAAATTCTGATAGTACTTGATATTTAGTACTAACTCTTAAACAAAATTTCTTTATATCTGAATTGTTATATATAGAGATTATCAACATCCTATGATATAGGAGTACTAGTTATGATTTGAAAAAGCCAAATTAAATTTTTAGTTGAACTGATATTTTTTATTTTTTCTTTCTTAACTTTTTTACAGTTAAAGACTGCGGTACTAGTTGTGGTTTTAAATGTAGGGTTTTCAGCGACAGCTATTCTGTTGGCACAATTTGGATCTCATGGGGAGATGAGAATTGATGTTATTGGTTTCTTGTGCTCAGCTCTAAACATTGTCATGTATAGTTCCCCTCTTAGCGTGGTGGTAAGCCCCTAATTTTCCTTTATTAAATATTCTTGTAATATTTGTAAACCATACGCAAAAGCAATACAAATTTGTTTTCTTACGTAAAACTTATGTTCTAAGTAAAGCAAATATGCCAGACTCATGCCTTGCGTTTAAATATAATCTCTTTGTTTTTGTTTCTGATTAACTAACTCAACAACTCATGCATGTGGGCTATCTATCTAAAAATTGAAGTTAAATATCAATTTCGGATACTATTTGTTTTGGCAGAAAACAGTGGTGACAACAAAGAGCGTTGAGTACATGCCATTCCTTCTTTCACTTTTCTTTTTCTTAAATGGTGGAGTTTGGACTTTGTACGCTTTGCTTGTACGAGACTGGTTTCTTGGAGTAAGTATATCCTGTTACCTTCATTTATTCTTTAATTAATTATCATCATTTATATAATAATATTCTCAATAACTTGATCAGTACTCTTTGCTAGATAATGATCAGATTTAAACTTGTCATCAAGATGAAGAAAAACGCCTAATACACGTTGAGAAACAAATTGTACAATCGTGCAAGCAATATTATGGGGATCTAAGTTAACAATTAGATAAAATAATACCACTCCCAATTGGCGTTAGACTTGTTCTAGCTAGAGAGAGAAGCTTTCAACTTTTTTAGGTTCTTTGCCAGTTCCACGTTATTATTTTAAGGATTTTATTTTGGCTTATTTCATAAAACCCCTTCTAAACTTGGCTCAGTTTGTAACCTGCACATCTATGCTATATGAGGTGTTTCTATTACCCTAGGAACTACGTCTTACGTTTTTCAATTCCCCTAGACAAAAATAAATAAAAATAAAAACCTGATGTGTGGTGTTTTTCATGCGTCATACACGTGGAATTCTTGAATATTATATTCCACATAATTCAAATATGACGTCGGCGAATTCTCGAAATGTGGATTTCCAAGCTTTTTGCAGACTTGGCTACGTATATTGGATTTCCAAGCTTTTAGAAGGTATAGTAGTATAACCTAACAGTTAAAAATTCATGTTTTCACAAAATGTAAAGGATAAAGGACAACTAGGTGAATTACGTAAATATTGGGTTTCCACTCTCTTGTAAATTAAGAAGATTGTCTAGCTAACCCCCACCTCTACTCCCCCACTGACCAATCAAAGGTCGTGTCGGAAAGGCTGATATAAACATGAAAGAAATGAACATACACAAGGGCCAAAGCATATAATATAATGCCTATGGCTATCCCTATCATTAAAAGTGAAAATAAATAATGGCTGATTATCCACGCCAATTTTCACTTATATTGCAGAATTCTAGTTCCGCAATTCCTTTTTTTCCTTTTCCTTCACATTTTACTTCAAATAGAAATCAAGGGTTCATTGAAAATTAGGGTTTTGCATTCATCTACAATAGTTCGTAAGAATGATTGTCGTCAAAAAAATAAAATTGTTGTGGCCCGATGATGGACCCTATATTTGAATTTACCAATTCAAAGTGTTCTTATTGCATTATTAGTACTCAGAGGCGGACTTAGAGTGTCGGAGTGGGTACAATTGAATCAATACTTCTAGCATAAAATATGGAATAAAGTAATATAATTTGGAATTGAGTGTTGAACCCATATTTTTAAAGAAATTAAAATTTCGAAACACTTCAATTTAAATCCTGAATCTACTTCCATACTTTTAAGGTACCAAACGGGATAGGATGTCTGCTGGGAACGGCACAACTAGTGATATATGCCATTTACCGAAAGGGTAAATCAGTGAAGCACATAGCTGACTTGGAGGAAGGAGGGCAGATAGAGCATCTTCTTCCACCTTCTGCCACCACAAATATTAATTACAAGTACAATGGGTTCGTGCTTTCTGCCACTATGTATTGAAAGCACCAACTTTTACTGCTTCTCTATGCATGGAGTATATTCTACTTTATCACTCTGTTTCACTTAATTTAGTTCTTCAATTTTCTTATTCTCCATATTAAATTTTAAGCTAGTTGCTGATACTCTTTTTATTGTGTTTTTCTTCTTTCTCAATTCTATGGTACTAGTAATATTTTTCCAATTTAAAAAGCTACCTATAGCTTTTACTTAGTTAATCTGCTACTATTTTTATTTACTTCAAAACATAGTGAACAAGAAGCTGAAAATGTTGCTATATGACATATGATTGCTTTAGTGTTTTGTTTGCTCAAAAGTTATCATATACCTTATGAGTGCAAACAATATAAATAGATCACGGGAAAATCATAGCAAACCGTAATAATCCATTGGACCAAATGAAGGATGCGAAAATAAGTACTCAACTTTAGGAAGAGAAACATAAAAGCTTTTGTTGATAATATTGCTTTGGTCTGTATCTACATGAAGAGGTTCAGAGCCTTACAATGGTATTCCACATATGTGCATCGTTGTCCCACTTTCTCAGCTTTTCTTGATAATATTGCTTTGGTCTGCCTCTCCACGAAGAGGTTCAGAGCCTTACAATGGTATTCCACATATGTGCATCGTTGTCCCATTTTCTCTCTCTTCTCAATAGTTAAGAAGAAGCCCCCTTTTCTAGGGTTTCCTCTCTTGGTATTTATAGTTGTGAGCTTCGTGAGCTGGCAATAAGTGGCCGTGACCACATTGGGGTTTCGCCTTCATGACGACGGACGGGCCGTGGCCTTGTTGATCGAATTAGATAAGGGTTGAATACCGCTAATTCTGAGTGGTCGTACCACTAATCAATCATGAATTAGCTTAAGACGGGATTAACTTCGTTAATTATCGTGGGGTCGGATTCTGACCCATACATGTTTCTTTTTCATTACTATGTTTGCAACGATGCTCTGGTGTAAGATGAAACAAACGAGGGGAGGGGTGAATTGTGACCAATTTAAAAACTCAACTGACTATAGAGAGTAATAGTCGACTTCTCTTTATCATATGGTTAGAAATTAGCAGAAGCAAATTGTGGAGGAATAAAAACAGTAAAGACACAGAAGTTTTATACTGGTTCAGTACTGGTGTGGTACCTGTTAGGGATATAGTAGATATGCCCTAGATCCAATCTCATATTTGATTATTTGAACATATTTTTGTGAACATTATTTGATATAAAAATATGAGATGACCTCGCGTTTTAGAACCCAATTCAGGGTTCCGAGGCCTTCAAATCCTCATCCTACTTCTCCTCGATCTACGTGCGCAGTCCAGGCACATTTTCGGAATGCCTTTTTTTTTTATAGCAAATATACCACTAGGCAAGCTGCTAGTGACTAATCTAATCTATATCTATCTATCTATATTATTATTATAAAAGCATGAATAAAATGTTGGATTACAAAAATAACCTTTTAATATTAAGCATAATAACTCATAATAAAAGGACATAATCGGAATTCTAGACATTAGCCTTGTAATCTTATTACTTTTAGGATATACTTCTTAAAAAATTCCTATTATTAATTTAATTAAAAAAAACGTTTTATATTGTCCAAATCTATTTAAAAACAGGAGAGCCCATATATGATTATAAAAGCACGAATATAATATTGATAAATCAAAATAGCTCTAAAATATTAAACAGAAGAACTCACAAGGAAATGCATAGCTGTAATAACTTATTTTCTGGACTACAATAACTTCTCTATTAATTTTTTTAATATATAAGATTTTAAAATTAATACAATCTTGTCTATTGAACTCTTATTAAAAAAGTAGGAAGGTTTAATAAAATCAATTCATAAGAATCCTCCATATTAGTAATACATTACCACTCTATAATATTCAATACCAAAAAAATTTAATGCTAAACGGACTGCTTAAAGTGTTTGAGAAAACATTCCCACGATAATATATTATTATATTATATTTGAACTGCTTTCCTACTTAAATAATATTTTTTTATTATTAATTTTTCGTGTAATATAGAAAAATATACCTAATTATTAAGGAACAACTAAGAAATTTTTTAAGAATATAAATGTGTGAGAAAAGAAAGAAAAAGGTTGGTAAGAGCCAATACCATTAATAATTTTGCAAACAAAAATATCTAAAATTGGAATGTTATCGATCTTCTTACTCTTTAAAAATAAAATTTATGGTGGATAAAATTATAATCACGGTTAAATATTCAAAAAATGAGATGAACTAATATAAGAATCTAAATCAACAGAAAATAAATTATATTTTATGTTAAAACCAAATAATCAAATCTTTCCATTAATTATTTAGCAAGAGAATCCAATTAAATTATTTTTTAAATTCATCATATAAGTAAAATTATTTTTCAATTAAAAAAAATCTTAGGGTACATAAATTTATTTCATAAAAGAGTATTAGAGATTTAAAAAAATAGATCACAAACTAAAAAAGATTAGTATAATATTAAAAAGTAGGAGTAATACCTCTCTTATTTTTCCTTTTTTTAAGATAAGAAAGGAAACAATAAGCCCGTCAACATTGAAGCTTTCGCTTTTGGCATTCGTGACAATAGGAAAACTTCTCCTTCTTTCTCTTTCTAGCTCCTTTTGTAAGAATTAAACCTTTTCTCTCTTCTCCTCAAAAGAAATATTTGTTGTTTTACTTCACAAGATAGTAGAATTTGAAAAAATCATTAAAACTTGAAACTGATGAAAACCGTTTTATGCCTACTTTAATCTAGTTTAAACATTAATAATTGAGTTTATATACTATGTATGGATAATAAAGAAATTTTCATACTATTAGATTAAATTGAATCTACAACAACAGGTAATTGTTAGTATACTGTATTTGTAATATAATTCTGGAAATATAAATGAATATAAATAGAAATGAACATAAACAGAAATGACAGAAAACCAATTCGAGCCCATTGAATTCACAGTGTTTCCTTAAGGAATTTAATCCCTCCTAGTACCCAAGGTTATGGATTATTTCCTCCCAGGATAGAACGAATTACACACTGGTGTAGTGGTACTTCAAACCCCAGTGTTTCAGCGAATACAAAGTTCGGTAGCAAATCACACTGACTTTTTGCTTTGTTTGATGCTAAAAGTATGAAGAAGAAGGAGAAGAAACTCAGAAAATCGTAGTGAAATTCTGAGCAGAATAGTGTTGTATTTATAGCCAAAGTTGGGCTGAAATCTGAAAAGGTGCAACTCTTCAGAATGGCTGTTTATGCAAAACGGCCACAGCATAAATGCCATTACATAAATGGCCATTTACTCAAAAATAAAGAGGGAAAATTGAAGAGAGTAGTTACTTTTCTGTTACCAAAACAGAAAAACGGATTGGATTTAATATTAATATTCTGTTATTAAAACAAATATTTAATAACATTTTAGTTAATATTTTACTATTAACAAATAAGATCGGAAGAAAAAGTTAATCAATCAATCGATCATTTGACCAAATCCAAATCCAAATCCGAATCCGAATCCGAATCCGAATCCGAAGCCGAATCCGAAGCCGAAGCCGAGCCGAGCGAGCGACGACGACGACGGCGCGAGGCTTGCCTTCTTCTCAACTCTTTAAGAGCTAGAAGAAGAGCAATTGCTTATATACCCATAAAAAACCTCTTCCTCTTCCAATATGNCTGAGCTTTAAGAAAAGAGATAACTCTACTGGGAGTGTGGTCTACAGTACCACTCCACTCAACACGCGGAATACCTGGCATAGCCAGCGTCACGGTCTTGGCGTGACAATCAAGAATAGCAAAATGGAGCGACAACCAGTCCATGCCCAAAATAATGTCAAAATTCCACCATACCGAGTAATAATAAGTCTGCTCTAGTCTCAAAACCACGAATAGTATCCAAACATGACCGATAAACGCGGTCCACAACAAGAGAATCTCCCACAGGAGTAGAAACATAAACGGGGGCACTCAAAGAATCCCGAGGCATACCCAAATGAGGAGCAAAGTAAGAAGACACATAAGAGTAAGTAGAGCACGGATCGAATAGAACCGATGCCTCTCTCTGACAAACCAGAATAATACCTGTAATGACGGAGTCGGAGGCAACAGCCTCAGTACGAGCAGGAATAGCATAATATCTGGCCCGGCCCCTCTCTCGAGGGTGACCTCTATCTCCCCAACCTCCGCCCCTAGCCGGCTGGGCAGGTGGGGTAGCTGCTGGAGCTATGATCATGGCCTGAGAACTCTGAGGAGCGCGCTGCGGCTGAGCAGTCTGTGAAGATGCACCCCTACCAAGTCTGGGGAAGTCCCTAACCATGTGGCGTGTATCACCGCACTCGAAACAAGCTCTGGGAGGACGCGGTGGCTCTGACTGGCTGGGACTAGGCCTGTTGGAATGACCTCTGGAAACACCCCGCGCAGGAGGCGCGCTAGAAACTGGAGGTGCATAGTAAGGCTACTGAGGTGCAGGTGGAGCTAGAGTACTACCGGCTGCTGGAAGAGCTGAATGAACAGGGCGACCCGCATAACCCCTACCATAACGACCTGTTGATGGGGTACGGGAACCAGAGTAGTGACCCGACTCTCGAGACCTCTTAGCCTCGCTCTCCCCTCGCTCCCTGGCAAGCATACCCTCAATCCTCCTAGCAATGCTCACTACCTGCTAATAAGGAACGTCCGTCTCCAACTCTCGAGCCATGCTAGATCTGATGGGTGGGATAAGACCCTCAATGAACCTACGCACTCTCTCTTGAGCTGTAGCAACCAAAGCCGGTGCATGCCTAGCCAACCTGGTATAACAGATAGCATACTCCAAAGCAGTCATAGCACCCTGGCGCAAATGCTCAAACTCTGCGCGCCATGCATCCCTGAGACTCTAGGGGACAAACTCTCTCATGAACATATCCGAGAACTGGGTCCAAGTCAGTGAAGCAGCCTCGACTGGATTGTCTATCTCATAAGTGCGCCACCAATCATAGGCAGCTCCCCGAAGCTGAAAAGTAGTGAAAGAAACCCCGTTGGACTCCACTATGCCTATAGTGCGAAGAATACGATGACACTCCTCTAGAAATGCCAAGGCATCGTCTGATGCTAATCCACTGAACACTGGGGGATCATACTTCT